ACCTTGCTGATACGTGAACTACACACATTTGCCCTCCAGACTGTGTATCGCTTCAAGCCACCAAGAGTACAGAAATTGATTATGGCCACCTCCAGAAACCAATGTGATGAAGAACAAATTAAATATTTAACAAATATGAAGGAGTATGTTACCTAAGCAGAAGTTGTCAAATTAGGACCCAATGACCTGAATCTAGTTGCTGTCTGATACCCCAAATAAAGTTTTATTGGAACATAATCACTGTAATTTATTTATATCATCTGTGGCTGCTTTTGTGCTAAAACAGCTGAGCTGAGCTGCCTTGACAGAAACTACAAGGCTCACAGTGATAAATATGCTACTTGTTTATTACGCAAACTTACTTATGAAAGGAACAGTTCCCTAGGTGTGGTGGCACACACCTTTAATCCCAAAACTTGGGGCACAGAGACAGTCAGATCTCTGTGAGTTCAAGGCCAGTCTTGTCTATAAAGCAAGTTCCAGGACAGCCAGGGCTGTCACACAGAGAAACTCTGTCTCAGCCAACCCCCGCAAAGGAACAATTGTGTCTGGGATTTTGTGATGACTACTTTAGCTGTTCTTAATAATATCTACCTTGAAAAATCTATGCCATGTTTAGAATTTGGTGATATTGATTAAAAGAAGCTTAACAAAAGCAACTGATATGTACATTTTATGTAGCCTCAAGGTAGATTGCTTGGTTCAACCTCCTCATTTTGACTTCTTGGACTTAATGTAAATTGGAAACATTATTAGCTTGGTAGATTGAGTAAGCAATAAACATACTCTTAGAATAAAGAAAAGAACTATCTATCATTGTATTGAAGGACTGTCTTTCCCACATGATCTAGGTGCCTCTTATTTGATTAGTAATGAGAATACAAGCAGATGAGTTTTCCTTGAGTGTGAAGATCTCCCAGGTCCTAAAGGAGAGGCAAAGAAACAGAATATAAGAAGCCTACAATAGCACATCTACTTACCTAAGTTTCGCATATAAAACTCATCATTTCTCTACTAAGGAAGTTATGACAAAGTATGATTTTCTCCTAACCTTAGCAAGTTTGCTAGGAAAACATTTAGAAATTTGATCATTGAATTTCTAATTGAACATTTCTGCCTAGCTCTGAAAAGAGTCCTCTGTCTCTCTCTCTCTCTCTCTCTCTCTCTCTCTGTCTCTCTGTCTCTCTCTGTCTCTCTCTCTCTCTCTCTCTCTCGTGTGTGTGTGTGTGTGTGTGTGTGTTCACTCCTATGTTCATGTGTATGAGGGTGTAAGTGGGCATTCAAGTTTGTGTGCTTGGCTTACAAGTATCATCTTCAGGTACTGCCCATTTTGTTTTTTGAGACAGTCTCTCTCATTGCCCTGGTGCTTACTGATTTAGCTACACTGTTGGCTAGAGAGAACCAGGTGTTCCTCCTGTTGTCAGCCACCTCCTTACTGCTGGGGTAATAGGTGCATTCTACCATACCCCTCCCCTAAATCGTTTGTTTATCATCTATCTATCTATCTATCTATCTATCTATCTATCTATCTATCTATCTATCGTGTGTGTGTGTGTGTGTGTGTGTGTGTGTGTGATGTGTGTTGTACACATGGAGATCACAGGATAAATTTCTGGAGTTGGTTTTCCCTTCTTCCACCACGTAGGTTTGGGGATCCAACTTAGGCCTGAAGGCTGGTGCAGTTCTTTACTGAGCCATCTTGCTGGCCCCATGTCAGACTTTTCAGTGTGGGTTCTGGGAACTGAATTTAGGTCCTTATGACTGTATGTCAAGTACTTTACTGACTAAGCATCCTCTCCAGACCCTGTAAGAAAATTCTTCTCACTAAGATTTGTTTAAAGTCCTTGAAATTTTACTTCAAGGCATTTTCCCCAAGGATATAATTAAACATCCAATGTTTCTCAGAGCATTGGCTATAATAATGAGAAATTACAAATTATCTAAATTTGAAGCAGTAATAGAGAATGAGTTAAATAAGTTATAGTGCTTTAACACTTGTTCTGTGAACTCATACTTTAATATTTAATAACACAGAATGATGTTCTGGATGTTATTCTATAAATGTAAAAATGCAGAAAAGACGGGAATATATGCTGTGTAATAAACACAGACTTAGAACAAAGGGGGAAAGTTTGAGTGGTTTGAAGATATTCTTGTGTTTCCCTCCATCTTCTAATGTTTCATAAATGTTTTTATCACAATAAAATAAATAAAATATGTAAAGCAAGCAGTCTGTTTCTTTAAACATTTTTATCTGGAGTGGGAAATTATGAGTTGACATAAAATCAATGTTCTTTCCTTTTCTCCAAAATCTGATGAAGTGCTTCAATCACAGCTTGTTAGGATAGCACATTAGGACAGTCAGGCCCCTACTCCCTCGCCCCAAGACACAACAGCCTGCAATGGAGACCATGGAGTTCACAGAGACTCTAGGTTCCCGGTGAGCTAGAGTCAGAAGTGTGATCTATGAGTTCATCTCATTCACCGGAATCTCACACTGAAGTGGTCCTCATCAGCAAGCTGAGGCTGGCACTAGCTTGCCCCTGCTCTTCCTCTGGGCTTCCGGGAAACCGGGTTAGCATAGGAGGCCCAACACTTGCTTGGATGGAAGCAGAAAGCTCTACTTCTTCACTGCTCTGGGGCCCATATGGTCAGGTTGGTTCTTTTATGAAGGGGATTTCTCTCTTTTTTTTACAAGTCCTCTTTGTCTTGATCAAGCCATGGCAATGTATTTTCTTAGGAAAAAATTCCATTAAAAATTTAATTTGTACTAATCAGCCCCAGGCGGAAAGCCTGCAATAAGCTTGATGTCAATTTCATGTTTTTCTGAAGTTGGTGAAGTGTGTTGGTTTAAGATTGCCCCACCTTTCCTGTCTTCTTTTTTCTCGGAGTGTGCATATGTGTAGGATGGGAGGGAAATCTCCAAATATGATTTCCATACAATAAAAATTCCAAGCATTACATTACATTTGCTCTACATTTTATTGTCTTTACTTGAATTGACCCTTTCTCTCCCCCCACATCCACTCCCTCCTCTCCCAAAATGGGGGTCTCACTATGCATTTTAGTCCCACAGCTTCTGCCTCCTAAATCATGTGTGCCTTCACCTGCATTTCCTGTGTCACCCGAGTCACCCGTGATAAAATACATCCCCTGAAGTGATAGGTTGAGACACTTCCCCAACAAGACCTTTGACTTCTTCAAGACAGGCATCATGGTTTTTTTGTGTGACAATTCTGTATCATATTTCCTCTCTGTTTCAATCACTCCTTCTCTCCGTCTGATGGGAGAAGTCCTATGTATATGTCAATAAAGCACTGTTGGGCCAATAGGGAACCAAGATAGGTGGGACTAGGAGTCCAGGAGAACTCTGGGAAGGAGAAACACAGAGAGTCAAGATGTAACGCCATGGGGTGGGAAGCCCGGAACTATTCTCCGGTAAGAGAAATACTTAGATTAACAATTATGGGGTAATTACTTAAGTCAGAGCTAGCCAGTAAGAAACAAGCAAGGCCAACAGCTTCATAATTAATATAGCCTCCTGTGTGTTTAATTGGGACTGATGCGGCTCTTGAACCAGGCTGGCGGGAAGGCTTCTCTCAAGGAAAAAGCTTCTCTTTACATCCGTCCTTTGTTTCCTTTATGCTTTTTTGTTGGGTGTTACTCACAGTGCTGTCTGAGACAGTACAGTCAGAGGAGAGCCAGGGCTTCTGGTACCAGTGGTGCAGGAACTAAGATGTAGAGGGAGATGGTAAAGGAAGAGTTGAAATGGTGCATATATGTGCTATACATCCGTCCAACCACCAGTTTGCACGTCTGTCCCTCCATCCTGTAGATAGTTCTGGTTAGCTTACTGAGATCATTGCACTGTTCTCAGTATTAAGGACACAGCATAAATAAGACAGGCCCAGTTACCTGCTTTATACAAGGTAGAACCTACAATACAGTGCAAGACACAGCCAAACAATGGAAGTATCATTTCTAGTTATGGGAAGAAAAATCACAGAGGAGAGAAATGACACAAAGAGAGAAGAGGCTGATGGTGACAGCTGAGGGGGTGCTATGAAGAGTGACCTAATGGCATTCTAGGGGCTGAAGGCACAAGGCTGAGAGTCAGACTGAGTTTTCACTTTGAATCATCATCCTTAGGTGCGGCACGGACCAAGTTCTTAAGTGTCTCTCCTTTGCACTCAACTCCTTTTCTCTTGTTTCCTTTTTAAATTCTTTTCTTCCCTCCCTTACTTCTCTTCCCACTTTTTCTTTCTTCTTCCCTCTCCAACCTCTTGGAGACTGAACTCAAAGTCGTGTGAATTAGGTAAATGCGCTACTACTGAGCTCTTGTCACCCAATTCTTTCGTCTTTGAGATGGATCTCATGTAGGGAGGATGAGCTTAAACTCCTGAACTTCCTGCCCCTAAGTATTGGGATTTATAGGCATACACCACCACATCTGGCTTGTCCAATTCTCTCTCTGTCTTTCTGCCTCTCTCACTTTTTCTCTCCCTACAGGGTTTCATATAGCCCAGGCTGGCCTTGAACTCAATATGTAACCAAGGATGACCTTGACCTTCTGGTACTACTGTGTCCTCCAGAGTACTAGGATTATAGGTATATGGCGCCATACTTAATCTATGCAGTGCTTGAGATTGAACCTGGGCTTTGTGTACTCTAGGAAAGAACTCTACCAGCTGAGCTCCTTCCACAGCCTTGTGTTCACTCAATTATTGACTAAATAAAAACAATACATATCATCGCTAATTGTCAGTAGTAATGTATAATTACAGTCATGTCAAGGGCCCTAGGGGAAAGTGCATCTAGGCATTTTTGGCATTCACTGACAGTCCATGGTTATAGACAGTAGGGGCAACCTGTGTGCACTTGTCCCATAAGCTTCTAGGAGAAGGCCTCGCTGGGAGTGAAAAGAGGGAGACATGTTTGCTTTACTTGCTAGTGCTGACAGACGTGTGGCTTTCTGAATAGGACAGAGACAGACAGTAGCATTTTCCAATGCACAATAAAAGTTTATTTAAAAACAATGCATCCAGTGCTGTGTTTGGCACATGAGGCAACAAGGCACATTCATACTTAACAGATAATTTTGGAAGCTGTCAAAGCAAACCTTTGTATTTTCTTCACAAACTACAGTCACAACACACACACACACACACACACACACACACAAACACACACACACACAGGTATCTCTGTGAAAGGTGATCACTCTTGTTCACCCAGAAGGCAGGAGATATTTACATGGCACTCAGCCCAGCAGCACTGGTTTCTTCTAGGTCTCTGTAGTCTTCACTCTCTAGCAGCTTCTTCCCAAGGGCAGGCAAAGTTGTTTGTCACAAGACAGGTGTGACTCTGATGGTAAAGGCCCCCATTTCTTCTGGAGACCACAAAACCTCCACTGTTGTCGAGCAGGGGTAAAGTCTATCCGCATGCAATGGCATTTCCCAAAATAAATGCATCTACAAGGGTGGGGGAGCGGTTGCCATGGTAATAACAAGAGGCATTGGTTTTCACCTGACATGTTCATGCTGCTCATTTCTTTAATAACTCACAGTCATCACTCCCTCACATTTTAACCTTTTAGTTTTATCATTGCAATATAAAGAGCTTTGTTCTACTCATTCTTCCCATTCTTTAAAACGGTACAGAAATTAAAGGTGAAAACAAAGTAAGTTAAATGTGAGAAACTGTCATATGTTCCTCTGACTTTACTTCCAATTCATGTTTTTACAGTTGAGTGTCCAGATTTCTGAGCAAAGCATGAAATCTGTGGTTTTAATTCTAGCTGGGTAGAGATAGCACTTCTGAACCTCAGCATTAAGAATGCTGACCTACATTTGAAACAGAAATGGTGTAGACTCGTGAAGCCTTGCTGTGGTATTAAGTAACCAACCCATTTGAGTAGATGGTCTTGCATTGTGATGCTTAGATTTGTTTGTCCTAGATCAGTGATTCTCAGCTGTGGGTCACAACCCCTTTCGGGGTTGAATGGCCCTATCTCAGATATGAGATATCCTGCATATCAGATATTTACATTATGATTCATAACAGTAGCAAAATTATAGTTATGAAGTAACAATGAAATAATTGTATGGTTGGAGTCAGCACAACATGAGGAACTGTATTAAAGGGTCACAGCATTAGGAAGGTTGAAAACCACTCTCCCAGGTCCTGGGAGGATTTCATTACTGTTGCTTGAAGATTCTACCTCAGCTGGTCATAAACTCCACTGGAGTGGACTTAGTTCTAGTGAGACAATTCAGTTCGTCTGTATATTCTCCTAGGGCTCTTGATTGCAGGACTGTGCTTAGCCCTACATCTTGAAATGAGGTTCAACATCATTTCTCATAAGGGGTCTGACAAAAATTCCACATTTCACAGAGAAAACTATTGACCTTTTGTAAGTGTCTCAGTGATTATATTCAACCTGTTCTTGTCGAAACCTCTCTCCCATTGTCTACCTACTGTTCTCCTCCACCTTCCTATCCAACAAGGGAGAGGCTGTGTAGCAGTGAGTGTGTTCATAATAAAATGGAGTTTCCTGGTCAAATCTCTTGTGACTGTAGCTATGGACTTCACCTCTGGTCAGAAAGAGACAGAGGGTAAAGGCAATTGTTACAGTAACAAGCAGTTTGTTAGGAGGACTGAAAAACCCTAGAATACATACTTGACTCATTTGAAACAAAATGTAGCTTGTTCAGTATAAAGAAAGAAGCTCATTTCAACAATGACTAAGGAAAACAGAAAACAGTGCCCAGAGTGGTGTGACTCAGGAGACAGAGCAGGTGGACCTCTGTGAATTAGACATCAACCTCGTGCTTATGTAGTGGGTACACTGTATAGTGGGTGTCTATATATAGGTACCCTTTGGTCTTTTAAACAAAATGTAGAAAATGTCCAACATGAGTTTCATGTGTAGAACTACCTTACAGGACCTAGTGGATATTTTAGGTGAAGAAAGTAGATTTGGTCCTTTGTGATCTTCGATTCACTCCACACAGAATGAAAATCTATTGCCATTCACTGCCTGAGGAATTGAGGACGTTTTCTCCCATCATCCCCTTTCAAAGAATTTAATTAAACCCACCCAACAATGATTCCCACCAGAGAAACTCTCACTTCCAAAATCAAGTGTATTCTCTGTCTCATCATTGTGTTTGACTTATAGAGCCTCAGTTGGGAGTGCATTCCTAGTGAACGGTGTGGAGGGACAGCTACTCAGTGCCCCAGAACCACAGAGCAAATTGCTTGGTAGAATTTTTCTTCAGAAGCTAAACTTATAACTAGCTAAGCTGTGGGGTGAGCAGCACACAGCGCCTTGCTTTGCCAATTTCGACTGCTTGGACTCTGAAGTTGTGCAGAGGTCTTCTAATGCCGTGATATCTTTCAATCATCACAACTCAGTCTTTAAGAAATGTTCAGCTATTTACTTATGCACGTTCCAGACGTGAGGTTGAGCATCCCTTGCTGGGATGCAGACTATGAGCCAGGGTTCTTTTACAGGTGTATAGAGCTAGATAAGCTGAATGGCATCTTGTTTGTCTGTTTCTTTGCAGCTTGATGAATGCCTGTGAATTTTGTGTTGTCAGAAGGACGACAAGTGGACAAGCAAAAACTCATCCAAATGTGGTTTAACTGGCAATTAAACTAGAGAATCTTTACCTAGAAGGTCACCACTTGACATGACTGACAGTCTCCTATGTTGAGGACCTGTTGAGAGACTCTCCTCATCACATAGCTAAGAAATACTTGGACATGTTAGGACCTTAACCTAAAGGGCATAACAGCATGCTCTTTTTTTTAAAAAATAGGAATTAGTGAACTGACCAAGGTAGATTTGCTGTCTTGTTAATAGGGGCATTTGAACATCCCCCAAAGTCGCTGCTAGTGGCTTCTTGCTGGTACTCACTAATTGAGAATTGTTCAGGCAGTGCTGTGCTGTATCCAGCTCATATGTCAAAGCCAGTTCATTCTGGCTCCTGGGAGCCTTGGCATATTTGAGCTGGCTGACATTGTGAGTAGCTTGAAGTTGGATCTGATGAGGTTACATACACATGGAAACTTGTAAGTACTGGTTTACCAGAGCAGTTGTTAAACATCTAGCTGCACAGCAGAGATAAAAGTATTTTCTCAACCCCACAGATGGAAGTCAAAGGTGCCCTTGGGTACCTGTGGTGATCAAGGATTTTTCATGTGCACAGTAAAGAGAGAAGCATGACTTGAAACTTCAAAAGGATGGTGGCTCCTTATCCAACAGGGGCTAGAACACAACAGCCAGTAACAACTGAACACCTTGCTTACATGCTTTGGTCTTAGATTTTTAGCTCTACACATTTCTGTTTGGGGGCTAGTTTCTTTTTAGCTCAAATATCATAGCATCGGAGGAATTCCTCTGTTTGAGGAATTGTTCAGAGGTTGTGAAATCAGACCACCTGTGGAATATATTAGCCTCTGGGAATGAATCCCAAATTGAATCTGAATGAATCATTAAACTTCTCCGTTTCTTGGTTTATCCATTTATAAAGATGAATGAGCCGAGATTTGCCTCTTTATTTGAAACATAGTGAAATACAAAGAACTAGCCTTGGGGTAAAGTACACTAAAGCTCCTCACTTTGCCAGTTTGGTTAGAAGTGGACAGCCGAATCACTAAGACTTTGTGCCGCAGTAACTTTGAGGAATATTTGATACTAATTATACCAGGGATGATGAGCATTCAACTGCTCTGGTCAAAGTCATGTAAGTATAGTTGACTGTGAAATACACTATTAGTTTCCATATGTCATATCAGAACCAATTAGGGATTTTTTTTAGGTTGGACGTATCTCAGGATATAATCATTTGAAATATTGATGGAGGGGCAAGTATTCTATCTCAACATGGTCTTCAATATGTGCATTTTTGCTGATACATCGTTGGCACCCACCAGGTCCTAATCCCAGCACCCACTGTTACCTGAAACTAGAGTCAGTTACTCAGCAGCAGACTCTTCACTGATTCTACTGACAATAAGAGACAGAGCTTCTTCAAGGATTAAAACATCTATTCAATCACACACATCTTTAACAAAGCATCACAATAAAAGTAAACATTCAGAAATATTACATCGCAAATAATAACATTCTCAAACATTTCCCATTTGAAATGTTATATTTTTGTGGCAAAGCAGTCAAGATTGTGAGAGAGGCAGGATTAGTCATTTTGGTCCTTTGTATCAACTCATCAGTGGCCTCGATTAAATGGTCCACAGATAAAGTGGCCTAGCCAGCCTAGCCAAGATGCCCTCTATTCTCAGCACCCATAGTGTCTCATCAGAGCTCTTCAACCACACACACACAGCCTTGACTTTGCAGTGAAAAGGTCAGTTATACACATCTGGGAAGTAGGAGAAGCTAAGCAAATGTTTGCCTGATGCATTCAAACAGTTATGAGAAAGAAGGCTTTAAGGACCCAGAACTATACAGAAAAGTTCTCAGAATGTCATTTGAAAGGAGTGAAGAACCACCGAAGTTATTCACTGCTCTTTGTAAATCTTCGTGAATTAAACGAATACAGTAATTCAAAGTCTGTTGTTGAAATGACTTACAACATGGAAAACATTTCTTAACTCAAGGAGTCCCTGATGAAAGTTATATACAAGGAAAAATACACAGTCAGTCAGACCTTCAACTTATTAATCATGCATACAGATTATTAAAACAAGATTTTATTAAGATGGATTTATTATCAGGTACGATTTCAGCTGTCAGCTATATACCATCAATAACTGAACTGGGGTTTATCAGACAATGATGTAAAAAGTGGTTTTTCTCTCACTTTAAGGGAGAGTGGATGATTTTCAGCAGGCTGCTGTATACTGACCAAGTATCTCCTCTGTTGCTGTGTACCTGGGCAGATACATTTAGGAATCTTTTCCCCTTACTCCCTTACTGCCCTTCTCCATTCTGTTTGTATTCCAAAGATTCTAGACCCAAAATGTTTTCCTTTGAGTTTATCTCCAATACTGGTAAGGTTAAGATGTAAAATTATAATTTCTCCAATAATTATCTATGCAAATTTTGGGAAAAATCACTTAGTGTCTCTGCATCTCAACTTTCAAATTTACCAAGTTAAGAAGGGCTAGGGAAGCTCAAAGCTTCCTCTATATTACTCCTGCTTGCATGGGGCCCTTGAGTTATTGTCTGAGGGTCTGGGCCTTGCCTGAAGTTAGAGAGCATGTACTTATACTCACAGAATTCCCTGGAACATCGGTTTGTCTGGGCACTCACATTCCTCAGTACTGATAGCCTTGGCACCAGGAGGCCGGGTGAGTGAGTGGGGTCTTCCTTTACACATCCTTGCTATAGTCCATGGTCAGGTGTCTGACATTCAGGTCAGAGACAGATGGTACAATGGTCATATTCATCATTCTTGGACACACAGAACTATGAAACACACTGCATTTTATAATGGTTAAAGTTGCTTAGCACAAGAACACAGTCTACAAATGCAGACCAATGGTAGAATATTTGTCTATCGTGTGCAAGGTCCTGGGTTTTATCCCCAGCTCCATATACTCACATACAAAGCCAAAATATATAGGTGTGGGAGGAAGTCATGAAAACCAGTTTCCACATGACACTCAAAACAATAAATGAAACCAAAGGCCTAGCAATGAGCAGGCTGGAAAGGTTTTGAGGATTTCCTTTTCTCCTCTGCAATTTAGTTAGTCATTTCAGACATCCTTAGGGGCTTTATGGTGAAATTTATTCACATAGCTGTTGGTATACTCTGTTTTAAGTAGTCAAAAATTAGAATGTTCCTATCAAAAGAATATACTAACCAGACCCAACAAAGTGAGGTCAACACAGGAGGACAGGGGTATGAATATATAGCTGTGTAGACAGGAAGACCAATGACCTCTCTGCTCAGCCCACTGTACTTGAGTCTATATATAAGCCTGGGGACTGTGAGAAAGCTGACTCGTGCTGACTGCCTTTCTGATAAGGATGCCTTTCCATCATGACAACTGTTATATAGGTTTACAGTCTGAAATAATCTTGGAAAACAGAAAGGTTTTGTATAATCAGATGATGGCTGCATTTCCAAACCATTGGAGCAGCAGGTCAAGGGTATGACTAATGGTAAAAAATAGCCAGAAAGGCCTTCACTATATGGTAAAAACTGTAATAAATATTTTGCCAACATTTGTACCTAAGGTTTCTATAATAGGAGGGATCTACATTGTAAAGGAATTTTTAAAAGTGTAAATTTGTGGTTAAATTGGAATCTTTTCCAGATAATTTATTATTGCTGCTGTTGTTATAAACAGAGTACGGGGATCAGCTCTAGACATCCTTCCTAGAGGCAGGGGTGAACTAGCCTCCAAGCCCTTCTGGTTATGAGGAGAAATCCATTTCCCTCTATTTTGAACTCCTAGTCACTCTATAGTGGAGGTGACAGTAGAAGGCAGAAAGGGCTTCTCAGTGTAAAGTTTGGGAGCAAGGCTGTGCTAAGACTTAGGAAGTCTTACCCCACAACATTCTGATGAGATTAAATTTAGATAGACTATCTTGCAATGATTAACTAGCTTTGAGAATTTTCTGGTCTTTTGGTACTTCCATTTTATCTAGTGCAAAGACCTAATGGGCAGGTTGAGATTAGACTTCTGGAGTCAGAACTGCATCTGGATAATCTTAGCATTAGTATCCCTGGGCTGCAACCAAATGAACTAAATACTCAGGAATAGCTTTTCAATCCTGATGACAGTGGATGTAATTCTGTCAGTAATCAGTCTCTCCATGACCCAAACCCATCATGGCTGGAGAGTAGCCGCATGGTGTCCCAAGCTCTTTAAAGTGACAACATACAGCCATGGTGTGGTTTAAAAGTGACAGGACACAGTCATGTTATTTTTTCATGCCCATGAAATTATCATTGAAGTAAAGATTTTTTTAAAAAAATAGCTTATAATTTTAACTTTCTTATTATTCTGTGTATAGTTAATGCTTCTTAATTTGAAATAGTTACCCCTATTTCCTCTCATCTAGTTGAATGATTGACATTCATAGCATGTAAGATGTGCCATGGTTGGTACTGTGTTTGGATTCAAATAGTTTTCTTTCACTAGATTGTATCTGGGTCTGATTTAGCTTCTCCCGAAGAACAATGCACCTTCAGGACCAGGTAGTACACAAGACTAAGGACTGTGTGTCTCCTTATTGCACTTCTTTTTAGGCATGATTGTTTCTTTCCAACGAGGGGCAGTGCACTGATGACCGAATTATAGCAAAGATTTTCAAAAGTATTTACAACACTGTAAGCAATCTAAATGAGATTTCTGGAAAAGAACGAGGTGCCCCACTGGAACATATAACAAATGTGCTCCACAGGCACTTGGAAAGAGGAAAGAAACTCTTATTAAAATTTAACATCAACTTGGCCAGACTTGGGGTTGAATTGAAAGAGCAAAGTGCTGCTCAGTGTAAAAGCCTGGGACGGGAGAAATGCCATTTCTACTGATACAGCTGAAATAATGGGAACAATGGCCAACTGATCTCAAATTCCAAAGGTTATTTAGAACCAAGTCTTGCCCCTGCATAATGGCTTTTCCTTTTGAAATGCCCAATGTGTAGGCATGCAGACTCTATTTCAGTGGAAACAGAATAGTATCTATAACTGTCTCAAAGAAAACAAGCAGGTCTAGATGGTTGTTGGTAGGGATGTCACTGAAAGGACCTGACCTGACTAATGCTAACATTAGTCACACAGGGGGTCAGCCTAGCCAAAGCTCTACAATGCTTTTCAAAAGGTCACAACACTTTATAGAGCATATAACTTCTTCTCTATTCTTCATATTCCCCAGGCTTTTAAATCAACTCACTGCCTCTATGTTCTGAAAGAGTGCCCATCCCAGCGCTTGAACTAAGATAGTGGAAAGGCCTATGCTAGAAGGCCTTTGTAGGATCTGCCACAATTGCACTCAAGCCAACAGATGCAATGCCACCACAGCATAGGTTTTCCTTGTGACAGAAAAAGAGTCTGTAGCACACGCCACTCTAACCAGATAGATCACCCTGCTGTAGAATAATGTCATGGACAAGTGAAGACTTGATATGGGTCATTTCTTATAGAATTCATCATGAAGGAAGTCATCATAATTTGTTCAGCTTTTCTTGAAACACCCAAGTTACCCAGAGCCTTGAACACATCAAGTATAAATGCAAGCACATACAAGCAAAGCTAATGCAGAACTATTCCTAACAAATTATTAAATTCAATGGTAGTAGGACAACAGGAACAGGGTGTGTGTGTATGTGTGTGTGTGTGTGTGTGTGTGTGTGTGTGTGTGTGAGAGAGAGAGAGAGAGAGAGAGAGAGAGAGAGAGAGAGAGAGAGAGAGAGAGAGAGCATATGTAATCTGCAAACAAGATTTTTGATTTTGAAGACTGATCCCCCTGGCAGAAGAAATCCTGCTGGTCAGAGCTCTCTGATTATGAGGACTGTATCAGTGTAGGGCTGAGGAGACGGCAGCCATGGATGAGATGGCAGTAGCTAATCCGCATGGGAGTCAGTTTATTATTAAAATACAATCGTGGAACTATTTCAAGCCATTCTCTGTGCAGCATAATTCCCAATGCAGTATTACCTTTACCCATCAAGTCTAACTCATGTGGCTTCAACGCACCTGTTCTGAGTCTGTTAAGACCATTCAAAGAGAGGTGCAGAAAAGAAGCCATTCTTCTGTGTACGTGGCAGACAAGCTTTGCCAGATTGTCTTTGGGGTTTTATTCTGGAGACTATTCAATTTGGTCTGGGGGCACTTTTGAAACAGCCATTTGGCACTTTCCGTTAGGAGTTCTTAGGCACAGTGTGACAGAGTAAGCTTGGTGAGCCCTTCGCCATGCATTCGATACAGCAGCTGAAACTCAGCAGGCAGCTGGTGAGACTCCTGCCACTTGGTGGTAAATTTGGTTCCTTTTTTGTCATAGTAATGGTATGGAAGATCCTCCCTTGTGTTGGGGTCAAATCCAAAAGGCCAGAATCCATACAAGTGGATCTCTTCACAGACTGCAGATGCAAGAGTGTACATAAGAATACCTGTGCTCAGTCGTTTGGGTGACAAGTGTTTGTTTTTCCAGTACCTGGAGAATGATAAGTACATGTAGATTCAGTGGATGGTGCTGAGGGTTTCAGTCAGATAAGTTAACAGGCAGGCCTAGGAGCTAGATTTTTCTAGACTGTCTAGGTTTCATGGATAGATACACTTCCCAGACCCATAACATTGGCCCATCCCCTTCTAGATAAGATTAAAAATGTCATAAAAATTGAATCAAAGTGGAGCAGAGTGGAGCAAAATGATGAAGTCAAATATTTGGGATAGGATGGTAGATGAACTGGGTTCTCCCCATTTTCAGTAGTGATTCTGGACTGTATTCAGTTATTAAACATTGGGGTCCAGTTGTATTATCCTTTACATTCTTGGAAACGGTACCAGTGTATGTATGTTACCACTGTTGTAATTACTCATTACACACATTTTCCAAAGCAAAGGTTCTAGTCTGGACTATAGATAATACAATTATCCTTCCTTTTGGAGACACATCAATTTTCTAAACTATGAGTTCTCTTTCAGTGGAAGCTCAGTTAAACAGATTTTAAGTTTGGAAGATTTTAGGAAATAACAGGAAAGAACTATCTATTAGAGCATGCACACCTGGTTACCAGGTCTTCGAGAACCCACTTTATAGTAAGATCTGTGCTCTGGTGTGATGACTGGGTTCCTTACATAGGAGGGCAAGAGAGTTGAGGCAAAGAAAAAAAAAGGTTCTACAATTAATCTTTCCTTTAAAAATGCCCTGGGTGATTGTCTCAACTCTGGCTGCATATTAGAATTGTCAGAGGAGTTGATAAAAACACACCAAGTACGTGGTCCTTGCCTCCCTCACTACATTGACTCTTTCAAGTATAGTCTAGGTAGTAGTATAGTACTAGAAAACTCTGATTTTTATGAACAGCCAGAAATGAAAGTTACTGGATTAGATAAAAACATTACATCTCCAGCCAGTCTCCTTGTCAAGTCATAGTGCACAGCACAGAATTCCTTACATATGCAAACATTTAATCACAAAATCACATTATGCCAATTATGATTTATCAAAGAATTTAGAAACTTCTTGATTTGTGGTGATTTTCATGGTTGTGCACTAAGAAGGGGACAGGGAAAATAAAAAGGACTGAGTGATAAACAGTCTTTTCATTTAGCACTTGGTTACCAGTTAGGAATAAACTGAACTTTTTAACTAGAATGATTCATTCATTCATTACAAAGATAAGAGTTTTCCTCAAGAGCTAAACCAATCACAACATCTAGTGAACTGGATGGCTCCCATGCCCAAGAGATTACAATATTGATTTGCCATCTGGTGGGGGTATGAGTTAAATATAATAAAATATACACACCTGTTGACATGTTGCATGATATTTCCAGGCCAAGCCAATTGGACCTTTAACTGACCTCTGTGTTCAACGAAAAAGTCAACTAACGTTCTGGTTACGGTTGCAGAAGTGTGGAAGAAAAATGCTGGGATCCAAAGAATGGCCCCATCAAGCTTTTTTAAACTGAGGAAGAAGTTGTTACGGTCCTGAATGGTTAGAAGATTGTTGTAGTATTTTTCCAGGATGCTGGGGTTGAAGGTTGTAAGGTTGGTTTTCCTCCCAACATCCTTTTGGAAAGCTTCCGTAGGGGCAAAATTGCATCGAAAAACAAAATCTGATTTATCTATTTCTTGCCCACACTGACTCCCTGTCAAGATTCCACTGTTTCCAACCACAGCACAAACATTATAACGCTTATTCATAATGGGTGACACATCTGGGAGCAGTGAGCGGAAGTTATTGCTAATGGAGAAAACATATTTGTGACTGGAATAATCATAATGCATCAGTTGTCCAATCCGAACACTATTCTTGGTCAAAGAAAAATTTTTTATTACATCGACATGCTGAAGGATTTCTTGCCTAAAATAAAAAAGATTCGTTAAATGCATTCCATTCAAAAGAACAAAGTTTCCATCTTAAGCTTAAGCTTCTATTTAATTCAGACATGAATCTTAAGCACATTCAATTTAAGTATGAGCATACATTCATATTTGTGGGCTCCAGAGGGAGGACTGTCTTTTTTCTATATATATATATATATAAAATGGACAGGCATGCACTACATCTCAGTCAAGTTCTAAATGGGATCTTTGGATGGTTGTAAATTCAGTATACAATTTAGCCACTATTTCTTGGTATTCTGGTTTACTCTAAGAGTGCATTTGATTAAGGAGAAGACAGGTGCCAAACTGTGTTAGAAAATACGGGGAGACAATTTACACAGGCCTCAAAGAGCTCACATTAATGCAAAACATCGGTGACTTAGAGTTTTTTTTTTTTTGGTGTTTCGAGACAGGGTTTCTCTGTATTGTTTTGGAGCCTGTCCTGAAACTCGCTCTGTAGACTAAGCTGATCTTGAACTCACAGAGATCCACCTGCCTCTACCTCCCAAGTGCTGGGATTGTGACTTAGAGTTTGTAACTAGGGACTATTGTTTGCTACTGGAGTGTAGTTCTCAGGAATATACAATACTACAGGAGTCCAAATGAATAGATAGATGTGGGTATGTACATAGTATAGTACTATCTATTATTAAAATATGGAAATGCGAAGAGCAGTGGGTGTGGCTAAATACTGTTTTTTTCTTGTTCCACCATGTGAGTGCCGGATCAGTCAGGCTTGCTAGCCAAACACTTCACCTGCACAAACAATTTTACTTTTTTTTTTAACTTTTATTTTTAAATTTAAATTAGAAACAAGGTTGCTTCACATCTCAATCCCAGGTCCCTCTCCTTTTCCCTCCCCTCCTCCCTCTCCCTCCCCTTCTCCCACACCCTCCCACCAACTCCCCAATACTCCCTCATTTCCCTTGGGAGGGTGAGGCCCTCCATGAGGGTGTCCATAGTCTGTCATTTCATCCAGGGCAGGGCCTAGACCTTCTCCCAAGAGTCCAGGCTGAGAGTGCATCTCTCATTGTTGGATGGGTACCCAAAGTCCATTTGTATGCCAGGTGTAAATATTGATCTACTACCCAAGGCCCAATAGATTGCCTAGGCCTCCTCCTCACTGATACCCACATTCAGGGGGTCTTGATCAGTCCTATGCTGGGTTCCCAGCCATCAGTCTGGGATTCATAGAACTAACCCTTGTCAGGTCAGCTGTTTCTGGGGGTTAAACCAGCCCAGTCTTAACCCCTTTGCTCATCAGTCCTCCCTCTCTGTCACTGGGTTCCTTGAGTTCAGCTCAGTGGTTAGCTGTGGGAGTCTGCCTCTGCTTCCATCGTGGGTGTGGGTAAATACTTAATAGAAATGAGATGATAATCTCACTTAGGTCTGCTGAATAGTGAAGCATGGATCTATTTTTCTGCTTGATTATATGGAATTACAGTTTGGTAGACTATAGCTAATAAAAAAGCCATCAAAACCTGGAAAAACACAAGAGAAAAGTGATACTTAGGATTGCTTTCATCTGGATTTCATACTGAGCTTTCTGTATGATTGTCTCCTCTCAATTCTCAGGACTTAAAATAGTCAAAAGACAGGTAACGTGCTACTTTGCTTCCCGTTCTCCAGTGACAAGAAAGCAAACTGAAACACCTATGCTTTCTGTTTAAACCACAGCAGGGAGAAAAGAAATGTTATCAAGTCCTAGGACAATGAATGAAGAATGATATACCCTTCAGTTTCCAGTTACCAGCACAATTTTTAAAGGGGTTAAACAAACAACTTCAAGTGATACTCTTAAAATTAATTACAGGCTTCCTAAGAAATGGTTTGAAAGGCAGGAAGTTTTAAGAAGACAGAGTTCTTTTGATTGATAGCCTAGGATACTAGACCAAGTGTAGGAAAATACTGTAATCAAATTAGAGATGTGTTTGGGGGACAGGTGTAAGGCGCTCTTACCTCGAAAGCTGTCTGTACTGTCTGCAAAATTAAATTTATATGAAAATCCCAAAGGCCAAAGCTGAAAAGCACTTCCATCTCATCTACACCATGATTTAGAGTTTAAGGTCACAAACTAGTTTGTAATTAAACAAATATACTTAAACAATTCTAATCATAATCCTATGATTGTATCAAGTTAAAAAACATTTTTCCCTGAAACTACGTGTTTCTTTTGATTCTGTTAGTAGATTATAATTTTTCAAAAAAGTACAGTGACAATAAATGCCAGGGCAAAAAATACAGCTCCTTTACTGGTTTGTAAAGTATCACAGCTCTAATGAGTACACTAGATGGCTCACATTGCATTTCATGGCATAATAATCCCACCAAAGGGATGGGGTGAATCTGTGGTTTTGAGACCAGAATCACTGAGATTTAATTAATTTCCTTCTTCTCCCCCCCCAGACAAAACCAAACAATAAAGACAAAATTTCTTCATGTATAAAAACAGGTTACTACAAGCACTAAAGCTGCAGAGGCTTACTGAAAACAAACAGGCAAAACCCAACCAAAATCATGTGTACACACATATATTTGGGCCTGCATCTCCACTAGGAATGTGATGAGGCTGCATTATGTTTTCCGTGTCTCAGTAAGATTGTATAATTACATTTTTTCAAAGCGGGGGATCATCTGCTTGCAATTAACCTTTTTTTTTTTTTTTAAATAGGCAACTTTGATGCAGCCAGACTTTACATCATGGTGTGCTCAGGTAAGGCCAAATTCGGAAGGATACTGACCATCCCGAGTCTTCCTTTTTAGAGGACATTTGAGAGGGATGGCTACTCATCACCTCCTCTTGTATTTAGGAGAGGACAAAGCTGTAGGTGAGATGAATTGTGGGGGTCTTTTTTTTTCTTTTCTTTTCTTTTTTTTTTTTTTGCTTGTTTCTGTTTGCCTTTTGGTGGTTTTGGATATGTGTTTTGAGCTGTTTGCTTTATTTACTTTCAAATTTAAAGCAATGACAGACAACAACCAATCAACCTCTCCTCCTATCCTACCTTTGATGTAAAAACGCTGTCCGATTAAATGTCCATTTAGAAGGTTTCTCTTGGAGTTCATGGGTGAGAGAATTCGTAATGGGCACAAATGACGGGTCTAGAAACTTCAGCGCAAACTGTGACCTAAAGAGGAGCATGAATTCAGACAGGCACGGGCCTCAGCAAGGGGAACACAGAGAGCAGTGAGACAGCTCCAGCCACAACCGGAAGGGGCAGCTGGCACACCGGGAGGCCCACCGCACAGCCCCTCTGTTTTGGCATATTCTCTTGCTTTTACACACACCCGGAAGAAAGGAAGAAAAGGGGAAACTCTTCCTCATTGTCCAGCCCTGAGGGTGTAGGAGAGATCATAAAAAAGATGGCGGTCACGCAGACAGCCAGGGTCGGATCCCGGTGCAGGGCTGCTGTCCGCGGCGAAGCAGGGACTTTGAGTCAGCACCGCGGACAGCAGCCTCCTCTGACCCGACCCAACCACCCGCCCCGAGAATTGATTTTTGGAGAAAGGGCAGAGGAAATTCGAGACTCTGGAGAAAGGGGTGGGGGTGGGGGTGGGGGGGCTCCAGCCTTAACCTTTTCCTTCCCAAGCCCGAGTCTGATTGCACCCTCATCCCTTAGCTGGAGACCCGGAGAGGCTGCCTGCAGCCGGGCTCTCCTGTCCAGGCCTGGCTTCTTCAGGTTCCGCATCCCCGGCCCAGCTTGCCCACAGGGTGCAGCTTGTGGTTGCCACCGTCCCATTAGGAGGCGGTGTGGGGAGAGCTCCTTGGGCACAGGTACGGGTGGGGCTCCCGAGGAGCTGTGCCCGAGCTGCGCCCCGCGGTGACTTCGACCAGGCAAGGGTGGGCGGCCCACAGCATAAGGCTTGCTTCCCGCAGGGGCTGAGGAATTGCAGAAATCCAGGAAAGGAGGAGGCGGGTGGCAGCGGGGGAAGGGTCGAGGAGAAAGCCCTAGGGGCTTCAAGAGACTAAACCTGCGCATCATTAGATGAGAAAGGGGAGGAGGGAAGGGGTGTGAGAGCAGTTGGCGCCTGCGCCATTAAATCGCCCCAGCCAGGCCTTCGGAGCCCGCCGCTAGCGCACAGTCAGGGCACCCACCTCCTGTCTTGCCCATCTTAGGGTCCAACACCTCCTCCCGCCGTCCAAACACCGCCTCTCACCCTACCACCAACACCCCAGTTTTGCAATGGGGGGAGGGGACGCAGAGGAATAATAGGAGAAATTCAATCACATCGATTAGGACAAAGGCTTTTAAAGGGGCTTTGGGTTAAAAAATAAAGTGGAGAAGGAAGAGAGAAACAGAAAACAGGAGGGGAAGGACCACGCAGTTACCAATAAAACCTAAACACCATTCTCTCACTGTCCCCCAAACACACCACCGACCCGAGGTACCCGAGGGCGCTCAAACAGTGGTCCACACTCACCGGAATCCCGCGTGGAACATGTACATTCGGGGCGCCCCCGGGTTGGCGTACTTGGGAGTGGTGAAGATGTTCTCCTTTTTCAGGGACACGTAGCTGATAAGCGATAAAATCAGCAGGGCCACGCTGAGCATGACCAGCCCTAGCACACTGGCGACTCGGGCCATTTTGCAATTTCTCATCCCGGGCTAGGCAGGATTCAGGGAAACCGGGGAAATCGGTCCATTGAGCGGCCAGCAGCCTGCTGGCGTGTGAGTGTGTGTGTGTGCGTGCGTGTGTGCTCGCGGGCGCGTGTGAGTGTGTGGCGGGGGAGGGGGGGACCCAGGCAGTTGAGTCGCGGAGGGCAGGGGGTGGGGAACGACCTGGAGCCCCGGGAGAAGCGGGAGCCGCCCCCCACCCCACCCCGGGGTCAGGGGAGAGCCTGGCCCGGAACTGAGCAAGAAGATGGAGGGTCTGCGAGGCGGCGGGGCGATGGAGCACGCCAAGCAGTGCGTCTCCGGCTGCCGGCTCAGGCTCCCCCCGCGCGTTTCCAGCAAGGTTGCCATCTCCGCTGCCGCCTGCAAGATAAATGTGATTGGAATAGTGTTACAGTTCGATCTAAGCACAGGATTTAATTAATGAACTCTAATCTCCTAAATAACCAGGGGGAGGGGTGCGGGGGAGGGAGAGCAGAGGGGAAACGGGGTGGGGTGGGTGGGGATGGAGAAAGGAAGCTGTGAGGCTGGAGCCCACTCCAATGGCCTCCAGAACCCCCGCTAAGGGTACAGTTGAGTAGGTGGCTGTCAGGAGACTGATGGCCAAACTTAGTTTAATGAACCATTCATTACTTTATAAAATACATCACCAAATAGGACGATAAATAACCTGATTTGTTACTGTGGAGTATAAACACCAGCTGGGCACGTCTGGGAGATGCAATGAGGATGTGTTTCAGGAAGGCAAACGTTTAAAGGCTTTCTCATCTCCATCAGGCATCATCACCCGAGTCCCACAGGCAGCACCTGCTGCAGCATCCCTGCAAGGAAGATTCAAATGGTAGCTGGGTCAGCCTGCCTTGGGGACATTTAAGAACATTTTAGAAGGTCTCATCATGCTCCTTCTTATATACTTACCCATAAAGGATGGGTACAGCCTAAGTGTGCAAGTTCTGCCTCTGTGTCCCTCATGCGCCTCTCAGCGCTTGGCCTACGTACCCCAGCATCAGGCTTGGAACAGTCAGGCCGCATTGACTCTCTATCACTCACTACCTTTTGGGGTCATTGTCTTTCAGACTGCCACAGCCCTCAAAGGCCAACTTCTCACCTCTACCTTCTTTCAATAGTGCTCCTTGACTAGGAACTTATCCCTATGCCAGCCTTCTGGCTGGGATAGGTGGCCTAAGGTGTCTAGAAGCCAGGGCTATTATAAATGCACAAAATGCTGTTTGTAGAAGCTCAAGACCCAGGTAGGAGAGGTTTGCCTGGAGTGTGGTAGGAGAATTCATTTTGTACTGCTTGACCATATTGCTTCGTCATATGCTGTCTATCTTAATATTCATTAGAAATGCAAATCCACCCACTTTTAGTTGCACTCTGAAGTAGCTCACTTATTTCTTCAGCTTTGCTCTTTGCTGTGAGATTATGGTCTCTTCTCCTCTGGCTTTATCCTTGATTTGGTCATTCCTGTCCTGGTTAAGAAGCGCTATTGAAAGAAGGTCGAGGTGAGAAGTTGGCCTTTGAGAGCTGTAGTGGTTTGAAAGAAAATGGCCCCCAAAGGCACTGACACTATTAGGTGTGGCCTTGTTGGAGGAGGTGTGGTCTGGTTGGAGGAAGTGTGTCACTGTGGAGGCAGGCTTTGTGATCTCATATATGCCCAAGTCATGCTCACGGTCTCAGACCACTTCCTGTTGCCTGTGGATTCACATATAAGAACCCTTAGCTCCTTCTTCAGCATCATGTCTGCCTGCATGATGCCCGGTTCCCTCCCATGATGACAATGAGCTAAACCTCTGAAATGTAAGAAAGCCCCAATTAAATGCTTTCCTTCATAAGAGTTGTTGTGGCCATGGTGTCTCTTCACAGCAATAGAAATCCTAAGACAAGAGCCTTTTCCATAAAGCAAGTTGAGATTTCTCCAAGAGACTTCTTTTCTGTGCTTCTTGCCTTTATGAAGGTGGAATCACTCAATGGTATGTGCTGCTTTAGGGACTGTAAATTCACAAAAAGGGAGGCCTCTTGGACTGTGAGCTCCTACAGAGCAAGGATTATGTCTGTTCTCTAGTATTGTCTCATCTTGATGGAATGTTAGTCAAATGTTTGAAAACCAGGAAAGCTTTCTCATCAGTTACATGTCTGGCTGTGGTCAGTGACACACAGGATACTTCAGTTGTCAACAACAATGGTAAAGATGTTTATACCAAAATATGAGGATTTGGTCAAGAAGACACAGATAATCTTTTCCTCATGGAGTTTTTTTGTTACTTAAGATTCAGGGACTCAGGAAATGGCTTGGTTGGTAAAATGCCTGTCACTCAAGCGTGAGGGTCTAAGTTTAGATCACTAGCACTCACATAAAAGCTAGGCACTGCCATGCTAAACAGGAAGGGAGGGAGGGAAACAAGGAGGCAGGTGTATTACTGGGGCTCATTGGACAGCTATTTAAGCCAATGGGTTAATTCTGCATTTAGTGAAAGAGCCTGTCTCAAAAACTAAAATGGTAAATGATTGAAGATGACACCTGATGTCAACCTCTGGAATTCATACACATGAACAATACATGCACAAGCACTCACATGTGCTTATATCCACATAAACACATGTATACATACACAATTTTAGAAAAATGTTATGTGCTTAATGTATATTGCTTTTGTGTTGTTATGAACAGAATGCTGGGCAGAAACAACTGGAGGAAGGAAAGGCCTCTCGACTCATTTCTCAGGTTTCAGTCTACTATTGTACAGTGGGGAAGACTTGGGCAGGTTCATGGCCTTACAGGTGCTTTGCTTCAATGCAGATCAGGAATCAAAGAACACTGTGTGATGTGAAAAATAAGTGACCAAGAGACTGATATTGGGGTTTAAGATTCAAACTGAAGATCAGAAAAGCAAAGTAGCAGGCACTAGCTCTTACCTCTAGCTCAGGTTGAAAGGGCTGATCTACGAGCTCTTCACTAAGTCTCAAACTGCTGCCTCTCCTAAGAATGGCTGGAGAGAATCCAGAAACTATCTCAGAAATGTCTGAGGCACTGAACGCCTGTCTTTTGAATACCTCTATAGGACTGGGATTAAAGGCGTGTGATCCCAGGTGCTAAGATCACATTTGTGAGCTATTTCTCTTTAGGAATGGATCAATATTGAGTAGCTTAGTGTGGCCTTGAACTAGCAGAAATCTGGCTACCTCTACCTCCCAAGTGGTGGGATTAAAGGGGGTGTACCACCACCAACTGATCTCTATACTTTGTGGCTGACTTTGCTTTCTGAATTCTCAGGCAAGCTTTAATAAATCATAATTAATATATCAACACAACACTGAGCTCAGAACCAGTCTATAACCTTCAAAATCCTGCCGTCAGACACCTACTTCTACCAGCCAGGCCTCTCTTCCAAAGCTTCTCCAGCACCCTCAAATAGACAAGAGTTCAAAACCAGGCAGTAGAGGGAGGCATTTCAGAGTGAAATCATGACACCTGAATAGGATGAAGAAACTGTAATTCTAATTAATCACTCTAGTATTTTTAGAAGACAGGATTGTATGAGGGTAAAATTCAAAAAGCACCCTGATCTAATGAGCTATCCAGAAATTCTATATGCTGGAAAAACAATTACTGAATCTGGGGGTGGGGACCATGACAGAGAGGTGGCTGGGGAGGGGGAGCAGAGCCACACCTGACTTCAGAGCTGCTTCTGGCATCCGTGTGCTTTGTGACATTGGTTGAGTTACTAGCTTCTCTGTGTTTGAAGCTGTTCATTAGCAGAACTAAGATAAAAAACATGCCAGGGATTGGAGTGGGATTAAACATCTTTGCCTGAATTGTGGTTATTAAATATTAGTGAAACAAACCGGACAAGTTTTTAACATCTTTCTTTAACCCCTAAGTGTCCTGTCACAGAATGCATAGGGAAGGAGGTACCTGGCAAGAGGTAATTTCCTGTAGAAAATGGCAAAGCTCAAGAAACGCCTTTTTCCTCAATTAAGCATTTCTGGGATGTATGAGAGCAATTCACTCTGCCTGGATTGATTGGTTGTTTTAGGTGTCAGGCAGTGGTGGCACTTGGGAGGCAGAGGCAGGCGGATCTCTGAGTTCAAGGCCAGCCTGGTCTACACAGAGAGAGCTCTAGGACAGTCAGAACATAGAGACACCCTGTCTCAAAAAACAAGCAAACAAACAAAAAACAAAAATAGCAACAAACATCCCTAAAAGTTGGTCAAGGGACTGGAGAGATGGCTCACTAGCTAAGAGCACTTGTTGCTCTCTGGGGGACACAGGCTTAACTCCCAGAACCTTACATGGCTGCTCAAAGCTATCTTTAATTCAAGTCCAGGGGCCCTCTTCTGGCTTCTGCAGGCACTGCACACATGTGGTTTACATACATACATGCAGATAAACACTTACACACACGAAATTTAAAAAGTTGCATTACTTTTGCTCAGCAGAGCTCTGGGACCTTCTAATCAGGATGGTGGTACTTCAGAGAACAACTATAGCTCTTGGGCACAGGATTTTTCAAGTCTAGGATTATAGATTTTTATCGAGCTAAAAAATAATTAGGACTTACAAAAATACCTATCAAGATTTTAAAATTTCACTTTGGAAATCATCTCCATTTGGAAATTTATGGGTGAAGAGAAGAAATAAAATACTTGGGTTTTAAACTTTTCTAGGGGACAGTGTATATATACCACTGCCCATGCAGATGCCCATGGATGTGCTCGATGACTCTCTAGCCTGTCAGTGCAGCAGAAGTCTCAGTGTGTTTTTCTTTGCTAATGAACAAGTGCATGTTTCCATTATGAACTACTCCTGAATGAGCACGGAGGAGTTGACTTCCTGGATGGCTAGCGACTGTACCCAGATGCCACAGAGACCACAGTGTAGGAGATTCAGAAAGAGTCTACTGGGAAATTGCTCTGTAATGTGTGACTGCATCTCTTTCTTATTGTAACTGACTGACATCTTTGTTTCTAATAAGTCTAGCAGTGGCTGCAGAGGAAGGTTCTTGGAGTCCCCTGAGTTTTCAACTCTTATTTTCCCCTATTGAAGATAAACACTGTGAATTCATTGGTAGGAAAAGTCACTGAGGTCAAAGAATGTGCCACAAAAACTCTTGGATGAATAGAGCTTGGACAAATACACGAGGTTCTCAGAGATAGGATGGTAAGAGCGGGCAGTATGTACCTAGGAAAATAAGGCTTGGGTGGGGGGTAGGGAGCAGATGAGTCCGTTGGAGTGAACAAGATTTGCAGAACACTTAAGATCAACCACTTTGTATTTGTTGTGTCAGTTACTATGAGGGAGATAACAACTGTCTTTACCTCATAGGTGAAAAAAAATGGATCTTGAAGGAGGTCTAGAGCTGGGTGTGGTGGCATAATCCCATAATCTCTGCACTTGGGAGGCTCAGGCAGGAGGATCATGGGTTTGAGGCTATCTTGAGCTATAAGGTGACACACTATGTCAACGAAAATATAGACCATAGGTTTAAGAATTCCTCAAGGTAAAATCCCTCTGTCTATGAATCCCACTCTTTCTGCTAGACCACACAGTTTATAAGTAAGTCCTAGGACAGATGGAAGTTTAGAAGATTGAACAACCCAGGGAAGCTGAGAACAGGGACCAGCTTTTTTTTTCTATTACCATCCATGATGATGAAGATGATAGGTCTGGTGATTCATCTAACATTTCTGTCTGTGTGTTGGGTGTAGTACTAGGCATTTCCATTATTGATCTTGTTCAATCTCTGTTCAGTCCTTTGAGAATACACAGAAAATCCCTGATTTACCCTGGCTCAACTTACAAGTTTCAACTTTTCAATGGCACAGAGTGACATGGATTCAATATTAAGTTCTGATTTGTTTCCAAGGCTAGCCTTCCTTCATGAAAAGTGCGAGTTTCGGCTCCTAGTCAAACACACAGGCATAGAGTAAACACCTGAGTCATTCAATAAACCACAGGAGATAGTCAACACTTTTTCTAAAATAAGCTTCACATTGGTTGATTTTACTGAAACAGACTAATGATGGCATTCTGAGTGCATTTGCTGTAGGCTAGACTAGGCTATGATGCTTGGTCAACTAGATGTATGAACACCTTAAATACATCTAGCTCTGTGATAATTTCATTGCAAAATGAGTTTATAGGAATGTAATCCTATTATAACCTAGGAGTTTCTGTAACGATATCCACCATTTTAATAAGAAAGACCCAAATCTCAGAGAAAGAGAGAGAGGGAGAGAGGGAGAGAGAGAGAACTTGCTTATTAGTGTGCCCCAGAAGGGATTTGTGATCCCAGAGCCCAGAGGAGGAGAGTAAAATGCCCTTAGTTATGGCATGTCCAGGTTCTTGAGGGAGGATAGATACAGTAGCAACTGTGGAAAGATGAAAGAAGGCAAGAGAAGATCAAAATTCTCTCCCTCTGTGGCCTGCTCTGGGGCTGGAACTTGGGTTAACAATTTTGTGGCGTTGGCTGGAAAGAGTATCTTCTATTCGTTCACCTGCACCCGACCAATGCCAACACAACACCCCAGGCTCAGAATTCAGTGCAGAAAGCAAC